AAAACATGTATTTTCTTGTATATCTTTGCTGTATAATAGCAGTAGCCTTAATTATTCTGTAGCATGTTTCATTGCCTCTTCTTTGCATCATCATTCATCAGTCTCTGCATCCATTTATTTCTTATTGAAAAGCAAAAGAGATTCTGTTAGTTAAAGCTACCTTTTAAAATTCTGCTTTCCCACTAGAATGGAATGACCAACCTTTTTTAAAAATGAATCAGTAATATTTTTTCATTATCATTTTCATTGTGGTATTGGTGACAATATTTCCCATTGAAGCCATTGATGTCAGTAGGCTCAGGATTGCACTCTGTGTCCCTTACATCACCAGTACATGGGGTGGTTCTGGAGCAAGTATACATCCAAAACTTCATTGGCATTCAAAGTCTACTCTAAGCCACCAGTTGTCAAACTGTGGGCTGGGATCCCGAAGTTGGTTAATGGGGTTTCCAGAATTGGCTTACACTTGTTGGAGACCAAAGCAAAGCCTGAGGCCCACTGTCCAAGGCTAGGCTTCTGCCCCAAGCAGAAGGATCCAGTTTACAGGTTCCTGCTTCTGCTTTGTCCCTCCCTGCTCTGCCCAGGGTGGTACAGCTTAGGCTTTGACCCTCCTAAGCCCACTGACCCTTGAGGCTCAGGCCCCACTCCTCCCTCCTAGGGTGGTGTAATACATTTTGTTGTCTGAAGGGGGTCACAGTAGGGATGTTAAATTGCGGTAATCTGGAGAATCATGTAGTTGATACAATTTGTGTTGACTATACGATTAGTTGATAGGACCGCTCTGCAGAGCCACAGCGGGGATAGCTTCAGGAGTCAGCTCAAGCCAGGATTGAGAAGTCCTGGCTCATGCTGGCTCTGGAAGCCACCTGTGCTACAGCTCTGCATTTTAAATGTAATAAGAGCTGCTGGACTCTCTGCATTTAAAATGAAGAAGCACAATGTCCTGGACCAATGCAACCCAGGACTTTTTGGTACCAGCTCATGCTGAGTCCAGCAACCTCTTTTCATAGCACCACACACAGGGACTACTGCCAGAGCAGCCTCTGCCCATGGCCATGGCGAGCCTCGGCCCACTGTGAAAAGAGGCTTCTTTGCAGCAGCCTCCTCTTTTCACCTCCACGACCCTCCCGTCCCCCCGCTGCCTCTAATAGAGGCAATGGCGGGGGGGGGAGAGCTGGTGCTGAGTGGAACCAGTTTTTAAGCCGGCTCCCCCCAAGTACCGGCTCCTGTTTGCACTCACCCCACCACACACACTGCCTCTCATAGAGACAGCAACAGGGAGGGGAACAAGTAGTCAATATTCTAGTTGATTACTCGCTAGCATCCCTAGGTCACAGTACCATGATGTTTGAGAACCCCTGACTTAAGCAGTTATTACCCTAAGAAGAGCCTATGAAAGTTAATCTGCTTAACATAATACCACTTCTTTGGATAGTTTCAAAGGAAACACAAGTTGTCCAAAAGTTTCAAAGGGTTGTTGTTAGTCCATAACTGAAAAACTTAAATAATGAATAGTCTAGCTGGTTTTTGAAATTGGCTTCCAATAATACGGTAACACTCATTAATGGATCCCAAAGTTACTGTATTATTCCAAGCCAATTTCAAAACCCATCTTGAAAGGGAAGCTGTAGAATTTAATTTCATTTACAGGTTTGATACCTGCAACAGAGTTCTAAACAAAGACCTTGCATGGATGGCCGCTACATTCCACATCCTAATGACATGAGAAACGAGGCACTGGGTGCTTAAGAGCACTTAGTGCCCACTCTATCAGCTTCATGTAGCATGTACACTGACAAGTGTATCCATTTTTTTTCTTCTTTTTCCTTCCCGTCTTTCTTCTTTCCCTCCCTCTCCCCATCCGTTGTCTTTCTTTTTCTTTTATTTGGAACCTGGACTCCTTTAACTCCATTCATCTGAAGAAGTGGGTTATGCCCACAAAAGGTCATGATACCATCTACAAATTTTGTTAGTCTCTAAGGTGCTGCAAGACTATTGGTTATTTACGTGTTTTGTTTGTTTGTTTTTTTTAAGTTGTCCAAAGTTTTTCTTGGCTCAGGAATAAGGAGGCAAAGCAGAGATGTTTGCTTTCCATCCTCTCTTTAAAATGACTTAGATCTACCTTGTTACAGTGAAATGATTGCTTCTTTCTGCTGAATTTTGTCATTGTGACAGTTGCTCTCTGTTCTCGACTTCTGTATTCTTGTTGCCATAGAGAAAAATCTTACTCCAGGAATGACTGACTGTCATTATTTTGAAAGCGAGGTTTATTTTTATGACCAGATGTTCTCTGTCTAAAGTTCTGGTTTTTTTTTAAAAATTAATCAATGAATCTTGTGCCATCTAGCAGTCTGGTTGGCACAGATTCCATTTGGCATACCTGGAATAACGCTATACAGACATTCGGTGAGCATGCTGAGTTCTCTGCTATCAAGAAATGAAATGCTATATAAATTGTGAGTTCTGGATTTTTGTCAAAGAAGCTGTCTCTGAAAAGCCTTGTTACACATGGGTGTGATGTCAGACCCAAGTGTAATAACGTTTTTGATTGATATTTTAGCTTTGCAGAACCTTGCTAGCTTAATTTTTTTGTTGCATACAGTTTCTCTTAACTTCTTACATTTTTCTTCATAAACTAAAGGCTCTCAATGTACAATCTCTTGTAATACATTTTAAAAATTGAAATACCACTGTCTACACTAATACACGATGACCGCAAACCCACTTGTATGTGTGTATTTTAGAAATGTCTATCTGTCTAGAGTCTGATTGTTCAATAACTCCTAAATTATAAGAGCTAGGACCACCAAATTGGTTGACAGCTTTATCTTATCCTGACTTAAACCAAGATCAGAGTTTGGTTTATGCCTAGGAAATGGGAATAATATTTTCCCCACAAAGCCACAACAGCGGGGTTGTTTCTGGGACTGGAAGCGAGCAGGGCTGTCTGTCCACCGGTTCCTAAAACACTCTTAGTGCAGGGGTAGTTGCTGGACTCAGCACAAGCTAGGACTCAGTGCTTGCAGTGCTAACCTTTATCGATTAATTGTGTAGTTGACAAGCATTTTGTTGACTACACGATTAACAAATTACACACTTCTTAACATCCCTATGGTACAACACTGATTATAAAACTCTTTCATGATTTAAGGCATTTGATTTCTCCTGGCTAGGATCTCTTACTTGAAATCATTTAGGGCAGGGGTTCTCAAACTTTGTGATACTGCGACCCTCTTCTAAGTTGCGATCCTCCAGAAACTCTGATTTAGGGTCTTTCATTTGGGGAGAGTGGAATTTGAGTTGACCATAATACAGTATGCACAGTGTAATCTATGTAGTCAAATATAGCAGCGTAACAGAATATACAGAACACTAGCCTAAAAGGTGGAAAGAATGCTGGTGAGAGAGCTGGGGTGCATCACTTGCACTGAGATCATTAGCTTTTGCTAAAGAGATGTTACATAGTTAATATTGCCTCTGGAGACTGGCACATTAAAATTGTTAATTTTAAAACAACTTTACACACTGCTGTTGGTTCACATTGTGCTTTTAGGGTTACCAGGTGTCCAGTTTTGAACTGGACAGTCCAGTATTTGAGCTTTCAGTTCAGGAAACAAATTGCGAAAATATAAATGTCCGGTATTTTCTAAATAAGATGTATTGTAGATTGCCATGTAATGTCAAGTGTGTATGGTATTTTTGTTGAAACCATCTGGCAACCTTATGTGCTTTACATTTTTTAGTTATGTAGAATTAGTGATTTTAGAGATCAGGGAGATACATAGCCTTTCTTAATACAAGAAGGGATTTTTTTTTCTTTTTTGAGGAAACGAGAGTAGAAAACAGACAGACAAAGTTGTTTCACCTACATATCTGTGGATGATTATGAGGTTGCAATACTGCACAGCTTAAAGGATGTCTTCCCTGGAATTATTTAGTCACATTCTCTGCCTAAAATTGGTGATACAGTAGAATATTTGTTTGCTTGTGGAAGACTCAGCCAGCACCTTGGGTCATCCATCAGCCTACCCCTCACATGGCTCATCGTTATGCGTTTGTTTTCAGATATTGGCAAGAGACTATTTTCTTCTCCATTTGGTAATAGGAAGAGTAGCTAACTTAGTCCAACTTGCTGTTTGTTCAGATTTTTTATCTTTGAGGCAAAGAAGATGCAGAAGTGTTTGATGTCATCTGTCTATTAGTGGAAGGTAAAATAAAGTACTGTACACCCTTTTCCTGCCTAAATAAAATAGGGTCTAAAGTTTCTTTACCAGGAATGTGGTAGCTAATTGGACATATAGGTGTAGCAGATCCAGTTGAGCAGATTCCAAAGGAATGAAAGTATTCTGTGGGAGGGTATGTCCTACACTACAGAGCTATTTCGAATTAACTTAATTCGAAATAGTTTTTGTCTAGATGCATTATTTTGAATTAACTATTTCAAAATAGCATTTTGCTGTTTCGAAACAGCGTGTCTGCACTGAGTGGACCCTGAACCGAAATTAAGGCTGGCCGGAACCAGTTCCGGCAGGGCATCAGGTTAGGACTTAGTGGTTGGGGCTGCTGCCTGAGGCTAACTGAGCTCCGTGCTTAAAGGGATCCTACCCCCATCCCGGCCAGACAGTTCTCAGGGTTCCCCGCTTGCTTGTCTACCTTGATGAGGGACAGCAAAGCAGTCGTGTCTTGGAGTGCCCTGAGTGCCCGCACGCGGGACACCACAGCACTCGGCCACATGGAGCCAGAGTTGCCCCTGGGCATGCCAGTGCATCTCGTGGGGTTGTTGCCATCAGCCCGGCTGCACTTCCTGCAGGCTGCCATCTGGGGGGGTCCATCGGGGGGCTCTCAGGATCCAGGAGGCCCTGCGGGAAAGCGTCCACCCTGAAGAGCCCTCAGAGCCTCCCCGGTCCTCCCCACCGGGGGCTCGTGCCCCATTCCTCCCTCATGTCCTTCCACTTTACTCCTCCCTAGCCCCCCTTCCTGATGTCAAATAAAAGACACACATGTTCAAAAATAGAAACTGGGTTTATTGAACAAAACTGGATGGGGGGGGGGATGAACGTCTGGGGAGACTGGGAAAAGGAGGTGAGAGAGGGGGAAGAGAGAGAGTGGGAGAGGGGAGGGGGAAACCTGGGAGGAGGGATCTGGAACGGGGAAGCAAGGGGAAGAAGGGGGAGGGGACGCTCGGGGTTAGGGCTCTTGCTGGACCAACTTAACTTTCATGCTAACCTGCTCCTGGGTTCGAATGTGGCCTTTGGTGGCCAGGCTGGCAGCTCTCCTGCCCTAGACGGCCACATTCATCTGTCTAGTGCAGAGATCATGGATGTTGGGGGTATCCCCCCCTCCCCCCAAACCTGAATAAGGTCCATGATATCTACCCTGGACCTGGGAGCTGGCAGACTGCTCCTGGGGAGCGGTGGAGGGCTGGCTGCCAGTGG